GTATTTTATTTTTAAGGAAGGTTCTCAATTTACCACCAGAAGCTTTTCAACTTAATATACAATTATGCCATAGTACCTTCCACAGAAATACATTCTAAAATATATCATTTATTTCTGCTCATAATGACCGATACATTTATAGGTTATATTTTTATATGAAGAACTTAGCTCTGCATACTCCATGCTGCTGGATAGAAATCCTGGTCTGCAAGTTATGTCATATGTGATGTCAGAAGTCTCTTTTCTCCCCCAGCCAGGACTAGCAGGAATTTTTCTTGGTCTGAAGCTTTATAAGACTTCTTTAACGGGGAAGAAACAAAAAGACCAAACAGTAATCTTTCTGTCTGCTCCCTATGGACATACAAATATGGCAGCAGTGTGGATTATTTGAGATAACACATGGGAGTGTACAGGACAGCTCCAAATTTTTGACAGGATTTTCCATTTATTAAACAGATATTGCAAAACGCTTTCAGTAGTATATTTAAAAGACTAAAAGGGAGCAAATAAGAAAAAACTCATGGTAGGGTTTATATACACTTTAAAGCACATGTTTTAATGCATATTTTGTCATGCATTAACATGCGTTGTGTTGAAGCAGCATACTTGTTTGAATGGGCTGCCAACACATCACAAGAGACTGAAAATACACCTGCACAAAGCAGCACACCACAACACATGGTAACATATGGTGGTGGGTGTGCTGAACACAGGTGCACTGGAAGTGCGTTCCTGTAGTGTGTGGGGTGACATTTAAAAGGAATGGCACTGCAATGCACTAATGTATGCATGGTGCATTACTGTGCATATTACTGAATACACATCGGTGTGAAGCCAGTCTTTAAAGTGATATTAAAGGCTTCCATTTTTTATTTAACCACTTGCCTTCCGCCTGCTGTTCATAATCGGCAGGACGGTGGCACTCCAGGGGCGGGTTGCCGTTCATAAACGGCACCCGCCATTTCTAGCTGTGCGCGCTCCCTGGGACCCTCCGGACACAGTGAAACACCGATCGTCGGATGGGACCTCTGTACGAGGTCCCGATTGTGTGATCACTGATTGGCCAATCAGTGATCACATGCAAAGTAGTAAGCAAGATGTCACTTGTGACATCATTGCTTACTACGTGTGAAATCTGTAAATGCTCACAGAGGTCACATGGTACAAGGCTATTCACAACAGCCTTGTACCATGTGACAAGCTGTGACCAATCACAGCTCACTCAGTAATTCTCAATGGCTGGAAGAATGCAGACAGAGAGAGAGAGAAATCCTATATGGGTGTAAAAGCAATCACTGTAAAAAAAAAAAAAAAAATCTTCATCACCCCCCACGAGTAGTACAGTGTCACCATGGTGACACTGTACTGCTAGGGTAACAGTATGTAAAAAAAAAAACATCCATAAATATTAATATTAAAAAAAAAAAAAATGTAAAAAAAAGTTTAAAAATTATAATTTTTGGTTATAAACTAATTTGGCTTATTTTTTTTTTTTACTAAACAGATAACGGAATACATTTTGGCAAAGATTTATGATGAAAGAATATTTATTTGCAAAATTTTATAAGAAAAACACTTTTTTAAAATTTTTTTGGACATTTGCATTTACATAGCAAAAAAAATAAAAATCCCAGCGGTGAATAAATACCACCAAAATAAAGCTTTATTTGTCTAAAAAAAATGGTAAAAAATTCATATGGGTACAGTGTTGCATGACCGCGCAATTGGCATTCAAAGTGTGATAGCACTGAAAGCTGAAAATTGCCCTGGACAGGAAGGGGGTAAAAGTGCCCGGACAGGAAGTGGTTAACAACAAACACATTATACTTACCTGATCTCTGCAGAGGTTTTGCATAGAGTAGCCCAGAGCCTCCTCTTCTTGGGTCCCCCGCTGGAACCCCTGGCCCCTCCCTCCTGTCGGGTGCCCCCACAGCAAACAGCTTGCTATGGGGGCACCCCCTGCTCTGTGTATCCATTCACACATGGAGCCGTGGCTTGTGCCCCCCTCTTTTCTCATTGGCTCACTGGCTGTGATTGACAGCAACATGAGCCAATGGCTCTTGTTGCTGTCACAGCCAATGAGGAGAGGGAGTCCCGGGATTGCCAAGACTCCGGTGCACATCGCTGGATTGAGAGGGGGGCTTAGGTGAGTATTACGGGGGCTGCTGCAAAGAGAAGGTTTTTTACCTTCATGCATAGAATGCATGAAGGTAAAAAAAACTAGCCTTTTTAACCAATGTAATTTTGTATGTATTAGACTTAAAATGTTTTTACTTTTGTAGTTACATTTTAGAAAACCTAACTATATGCATGTTTGTTATGTGCTCCTGTTCATGTACCATACCTAACATGATACAATACCTAAAATAGTTTTTTTTTTTTAAATTTCTTACCTTTTAGATGTTTCTGAGGAGAAGGCCTCATGGTTGACTGCAGATATTTCTGAGCATTGTCACAGTGGGGAAGATTTACTAAATCTGGTTCACTTAGAATCTGGTGTACTTGTGCATGGTAGCCAATCAGCTTCTGACCTCAGCTTGTTCTATTTAGCTTTGGCAAAAAAGCTTTGAATCTGATTTGTTTTGTTGTAGCAGTGCACCTGATTTTACACTCTCTAGCTTTAGTAAATAAACCCCACAGTCTCTATCCCAACACAGACTGGAGAATCATTGAAATAAACGTCTTTAACATATAATGCAGGAGGCCAGTTAACATTTTTCTAACTGGCCTCCTGACAACTGATAAGGAGCACAGTAAATCTTCCCATGCATATTCAGACTGGTTTAGCAGGGGCCGGCCGAATTTTGATCCACATATAGGCAAGGAGGTTGTACAGAAGTTTAATGATCGACTTTTGTACAACCACCCTGATGATTTTTCCCCACTTGATCAGCGTTGCCAGCTATAGCTGGCAACACTGATCTGTGTATTCTGATGGAAGTGAAGTCTCTGTGCTGTCAGAATACAATAGCTCAGCGGGGAAGATTCCCCAATCCACATTGAGTGTGTGAATGGGGGAAATATTTTTTTTTTTTCATAAAACTTGCTGAATGAAAAAAAAAAAAAGACTCATCTATGGGCTGCCAAAGTTTTTCCATGTGAATAATTGCATGTAACAACTCTAAAGTAGATGTTATCTTTTTTGCCTGCAAAAGTGGAAATATACTTTAAGTGCATTGTTACTCTTACGAAAATCAAGATTACTTTCCTTCCCCCATACAGTGCAATATGATTTAAAGGATGTTGGGGAGTCTGGTTGTTAGAGGCATACTTTCTCAAGACTCTTTATTAACTAAGGCCTATGAGTTTTTTTTATGTTAGAATAAAATATGATCTTCCTGGATCTCCCCAGCAGTGAATAAAAGTCATATTTGAAGACTAACAATCATGAATGCAGGCATTCAGGGCGTTGGTCCCGGAATTTATACTGTCCTACATGCAAGTACCGATCTGTACAGCATCTGAGCGGTACACATGCTGTTTGCAGAGCGCTGTATGCTGCACATCTCAAGTGCCCAACAATGCCAGGAATTTACGCTGTACAGGCCAAACCATCCAAGTGCATCAGCCTTTATCCAACTTTTGATCCACTGAAGAATGGCCCTGACTAAGTAAACCAAGCAAAAGTAGCTTAGACAATAACTATATCGTTATCAACCGAGAACCTTCACAATTGACTGAGCTACATGCATCAATCATATTAATATAAGAAAAGATAGTCAACCAAAAGACTCTTATTAGATAAAAGCATAAGCATTAAGTGCTTTGCTAATAAGGATCGGGAAACATTTGATTTAGAACTAAATTAGATGTTTTATTATGTTGTCCTGTAAACTTGGTGTAGCAGAAAATTGCTTGATTTCCACCATACTCGTTAATGTTGCTGGCAGCATTTCTGCTATTGGATTACATCTTTTTCAGACATCATTAAAAACATACAAAAACAATCAGAGTGCTTTGTCTTTATAGACAGAGTCTTTCTGCAGATGCGGACTGGAATGGTTTATGTAAACACTTTAAAAGAGAAAGAAAAAGTCTCTTTTTTTGGACGACACCCATCTATTAATTTCAACCACAAAACACTGTAAATAATGTTAACTTCCATAAAATAAACAGACTGGTGGTTATGCACCATATGTTTCATAATTATCCTGTGGATTTTGTTTACTGTGCTGTTACGAATCCCTCAGACAGCTCTGTGAAGCAACGTCTTTTGCTAGACTGAAAGGCAGTCAGCACTTTCTAGCATCCATAAAAGGAGTTTAAACAAACCCAAGTGTCCCTGTCTAGTCAGTGTGACCATATTTAAAAGATATGCATCGCTGCAGATTTGTAGAGTTTGCATGGATCACTTTAAGTCATTAAAATACGATTTAATACTACTTGAAGAGTAAGGAACTCAATTCTGTGCATAACTATACTGTTTATTAGTCTAACCAGTATATGGTTATCATATGCTTTACGTTGTTGGTGCATTTATTGTTTTGGCTCAGCTGTAGGTTGCATTACTGAATTTATAAAGCAAACTTATTTCAAAAACATTAGGTGATGTATAGCATACCTAATAATGTGTCTTGTGCTTTTTTCCCATAACTATAAAAAAAAAAAATTCTCTACATCGTGAGACCAGTTCAAATGTTTCAGGCTCAAAACATGTATATTTGGGGGCAATGCCAGTGATGGTAATCTGCTTGGGACAGCTCAGATTTTCCCTATGCGTACATCTCCTGGGCCATCTCATCACATTTTTACTAAAGAATGAACTCGGTGATGTTTGTGAAAAACCACAGCAATAGATAATTTAAAGGTTTTTTTTTTACTTTTTGGCTTACTTTGTGTTGAAATATCCTAAATGAATTGTGCACAACTGATATAAAATTGTATTGGTAATTTACCAAAGCTGGTGCAAGGGGCGGAAACTGACCATTTGGAAACTCAGGCACTTCCCTAGGGCCCGGGGTAAGTAGGGGGCCCCATGAGATGCCCCTGGTACCTTTTTCATAGGCTTTTTTGAGTTTGGGCAAGGATACAGGGGCACCATGATCCCCTATATTGCCCGGGGGCCCCATGAGTTGTCAGTCCGCCCCTGGCAGGTGCACACAGAATATGGTGCAGCTGTGCATAGTAACTAATCAGCATCTATGTTTTATTGTCAAAAACTTAATTGAACAAGCTGAAGTTAGAAGATGGCTGGTTACAATGCACAGCTGCAGCAGATTCTGTTTGCTCCAGTCTTACTTCTGGTTCACATATATGTGGCTAGACGGGCAGTGTTTTGCACGAGCACGAGAGCCCATTCATTTGAATGGACTCCCGTGCCCTGTGACACACAGGGAAGAAGTCCCTGCACTTCTTCTGAAAATGCAGCCCGCATGGGAACTTCAGATCCTAGTACGGTTTCGTTTTCCAGTGCGGGTGGCGTGCCATTAGAACTAATGGCACCTGCTCGAGGGTTCGCATTCCTCTGTGTGAGTGGTGCGGCTGCACAGATTTTCATGTGGATCCGCAGCCACACCGCCCACACAGATGTGAACCTAGCCTTAGTAGATCCCCCCCACGAGTCAAAGATCACAATCTCAACAACAACCTGGTGCTAATCAAGGTTCCTGGTAGGAGGGGTAATTTGGTAGTACTTATGTATTAAAATATATGTATCAGTAGATTTTTAATTTCCTAATATTCAGGTTAGGATAACAAGACATTCCAAAACACTAGTTAAGATGTATATTATTAAGCTGTTCTAATGGCTTATTTCAGTACTTTAGACGGAACTAGGTCTCCTTAACCCCAATAGAATGCAAATCATGAATTTTGTCAAGACACTAATGTTTTGCAGATACTGTTAAAGATATAGATCCAGTAAAAAAAAAAACACAAAAGATACATTTTTGGGTCCGATATAAAAATGGTTTAATTTTATAACTTGCACTTTCACTTCACTGCTAATCTGCACCCAAATGCACTGTCATACAATCCTTTTTTATGTAAGTCTTTTTTTAATCCACCAAGCAGCTATTGGCTGTTAAAGTAGGGTGTCCCTCCTTAGAAGAAGCTAGATATTTTATACAATTTTCAAGAGCCTGGAATGCAAACCTTCACCTCTTTTAACACTATGATACATCTGATATACATGGGGGGGGGGGCGGCAAGCTTAAAGTCCATGTCAGACAAGTAATCCTTTGGCTTGCAGCAACTTTCCAGAATTGCTAAGAGATCACTTACTATCCCCTGTGGAAATGCTCCTTTGTTGGCTTCACCAGAAAGATGCTGTTCCATTGCTGTGCTTTCTCCCTCCCGAATTCTGCAGTATTCTGAGATATAGAGATAGTGCCACCCACTTAAGGAACAATTTGATTCATTGTAGTTATTTTTCATTTGTGATGTGTTTCCAGCATCAGAATCACCATACGTTGGCCTAAGGAACATCATTACTACTTGTGGTCACTGAAGACTACTGTTCATACATCTGTCTTGAAGGATAAATGCACAAAAACATTTGTAATTTTTTTTCATACTGTAAGATGCTTTCATTCCTCAGTTAAAAAAAACATGACTAGTATGTAAGAGAACAGTATACTCTATGAATACAGTATGACCTATGTATCCCATGGCCTTACCTACAATAAATATCACTGCTAATTTTATACCAATGCCTTATGAAAATAACATAAATTGCTCTGTCACGTGCAAGAGAAAAAAAATATATAAATGTATTTCTTTTTCTTTCTAGGCACTGATCAAATGTGCCCCTAGATATCATTTATGACTTCTCTCTTCAAATACAGTATGACCCATTGTTTTCTATTGTACTTGGAGAGGCAGTCCCCATTTCTGAAACCAAATGTGAACCTGAAAACTCAAGTTGCAAGATATAATATCAAAATGTATTCCTTCTAAAAAATGTGTTTTCTTCCCAGTGTCTTGGCATCTGCTCCGAAAACATTTTACATCTGTTCTGCTAAAAGGCCTGGAGGACTGGGAGGGGAAGCAGAGTGCATGGATTGTGGGGGGAGGACTGAAGGAAATGTTACAAATCTCTTAATTTTATCATTGATGCTCATGCAATTTGAGCATCATATTTCGTGACAGGGCTATCTCTTTCACATCTCCGTCCCTCACTTTGTGATGACAGTGCCGCCTGAGAGCAAAGCATTGTTCCAGAGTCCCCTCATTCCCTCTCCCTCTTGACTTCAATTTGCAAGCGCACAGCTCGTTCCAGTGACAGGCAGGTCGTTCATGCTTGAATAACTTGCGCTCTGAGCTGTACAGTTTGTGGCATCCATGTAATGCTTAGCAGTAGGTACAGCTGTTAACCATTCACTTATAAATAATCTCCCCCTCCCCTCACAACCTGTCTCGCAGGTAGTATACCTGTCACCATTAATAACTCACAGTCTGTGTTCCCAAGTGATCTGGCCCATCGCATGTCATTCACAGCCGACTGGTGCAGAGGCCAGCAAGTGAAGTTCAAGCTGACAGCCTAAGCAATTCAGTCATGGCATTAGCTGTGAAATAATTTCATTTTGTCTGGGTTGTCTGGAGAAAACGACAGATCTGGTTTGCTTTTGGTATACTCCTGTATGTTTGGAAGAGTCACCTATCTGAACATCAATCTTCCCCACAAAGAGCTTGTAACCTGCTTTACAAAAAGGCCCCTTTGACAAGGTCAACAAAGAAGTGTATTACTAACTTGTTGGGAGAATTAAACCATTTTTATCAGACTCATCAAAAGGCCTTCGCTTGTAATACAATGCATATTTACACTGTGGTGCATTTACCACGGATGATAATACATGTATATATAGTCATGCAAAACTTTCTTTCTGAAGGATGAGTACACATAGGTGTTGCAGTACATTCAACTCACATACGGGAGCAGGACTGCTGAACCTTGTCTACGTAACTGAAGCAGAAAGAGCATGCTCACTACACATTTATTTGGCCAGGACTGGAGGTGTTATTATGAACATGCTTTCATCGCTGTTTCTTTTAAGCTGGACAATCCAGCAATATTATTTGAACTCTAGAAAAGAATTTGTATGTATGAGTATCTGAAAGAATCACTGGCATTCTTGAACATATAAAAATGTAAAATAAAAAATTAGAGGCAGCACAAAAAGTAAAAGATATGCACCTGTATTATGGTTATTACTTTGCACTTTGCAAACCACATGGAAGCCTCCTAGATGCACAAGTCTGTGTGTTGAAGCTTCACTTGGTAAAGAATATCCAATCATGTGCAAGGAAAAAAAAAAACAGCATTTTTGCTTACACATGATTGGATGGTGGAAATTAGCTGAGGTTCACCTCATTCTCTGAGCTCTGGGGAAAATGAGTGCAACTGCACATGTAAGGAACACAGTCTACTTGCCTTTAGTAAATCCACCCCAATGAATGCTTCATACTGCTGAGAAAAAATTTGATGTGCATTAAAACGTAAGCAGGGCCAATATAGCCACAAATAGTAAATCACTAATATTTGTATGTGGTGTATAAAACATAACACGTTGTTTGTGTACATGTTTTCTTTACTTACTAACCTCTGCTTTTCTTTAGCATTCGCAACACTTGTTCATTACAGAAATTAGGGTGAACCAGAATTTTTTTTTTACACTCTATAATTATGTAGGAGTGGCCATACACATTAATTTTTAGTTATTTTTACATATTTTTTATGTGTGAAAAAAACAACAGAACATTTTTGAATACAAAATGAAATATGGCCAGATAACTACATGGAAAATATAGTCAAATTGCCTTTTCTAACATAGGCAGTGTAAAGCTCACCATAGACTGTTCGAATCTCGGCCGGTTCAGCAGGGAGCAGCCGAGATTCAAGCCTTGTATGGGCAGGCTGACTGTACCCAAGTTGATGGATCAATTATGTGTACTTTTTGTGATGAACTTCTAAATACACCCAATCTATCTTAAAGATTCAGTAAACCCACATATTCCAAAAGGTGATAATCAACTCTGAACCTAGAATAATAAACCACCTCACCAATATATAATCCGAAATAATCAAATATAACAATCAAAATAATAACAATAGAATAAAATAAAAATAAAATAAGAATAAATAAAATAAGTGTCCAAATCTCCAAAAAAATATAATATAATATAAAATAAATGTCCAAAATTCCAAAAAAAGTTCAAAAAAAAGTTCTTTTAGTGTTCAGTGAAGCAAAACGATTCCCAAAAATACCTTGATATCCTCAAATAAAAAGAAAAATATCATAGTGTAATATCCTCAAACATAAATATATATATGCTTCACACTGTGCAAACTCAAATCACATCAAAAAAATAGTGAAAAATCAAAAAATTAAATAAACGTGAGAAATCGTGATCACTCCAATCTCAAGTGAATAGTGATACTAGGTATCAATATCCTTGATACTCCAGCCAAAGTAGATGCTAAATACTATTACCCTCTTATGATATATTCAGGCATATACTGTTAGACAGGAAAGGTATTTCTCCATCATTCTTATCCCGGGGTATTCCTCATATGGACAAAGAAAGGCTCTATCAGGCAGATTCCATAAAAAGGTAAAATTTTAATCCACACTTACATGTAAAAACACGTTATCCAGCTCTCTGCACTGAACATTTCAATCTCTGGTTGAAAAACGATTGTTTCCAACCGACAAAATGGCCGCGGCGACACTTCCGGTTAGCATGCGTGCGTGATGACGTCACTCCCCCCCTTAAGGGGAGTGACGTCATCACGCACGCATGCTAACCGGAAGTGTCGCCGCAGCCATTTTGTCGGTTGGAAACAATCGTTTTTCAACCAGAGATTGAAATGTTCAGTGCAGAGAGCTGGATAACGTGTTTTTACATGTAAGTGTGGATTAAAATTTATACCTTTTTATGGAATCTGCCTGATAGAGCCTTTCTTTGTCCATATGAGGGAATACCCCGGGATAAGAATGATGGAGAAATACCTTTCCTGTCTAACAGTATATGCCTGAATATATCATAAGAGGGTAATAGTATTTAGCATCTACTTTGGCTGGAGTATCAAGGATATTGATACCTAGTATCACTATTCACTTGAGATTGGAGTGATCACGATTTCTCACGTTTA